TGTGGCTGGGGCTGTGGCAGCGGCTGTGGCTGTGGCTGCCAAAGCAGTTTCCAGAAGGAAACACCGTCAAGAATTTTAACCATTATTAATCAGGTGAGGAACGTAGTGTCTGAGTTTCCTTTTTTCCCCCTGTTTCTACGACTCAGTGATCTTATTAACAGTTCATTTTTCTCTGGTTACAGGATTCAGAAGCAGTACGAGATTCTAAGCAGGGAATGAAACCGGTTGTCAGAAAAGAAACAGACCCTCTTTTAAGCAAGGAGTTTGTAATGAATGTGGATGGAGTCAGGGAATGGCCGGTGAAGTCATGCAGCTCCGCCAGTCATGCATTCAGAGCACGTCCAACCGCGTTCGTAGTCACTACATTCGTCGTATGTCTCGCGCTATGTGCAGTTCTCTACCATCCGAGCAAGGTCACAGCACTTGCAGTGGCAATCCGTACGAGATTAGCTCACTAGACTTGACAGAGTTCCGGTGGCAAGAGAGTCTCTAACCGAACCCTATGACCCTCCGTACAAAGTCGTCATCGAAAAAGCTTTGGAAAAAGGTTTTGGTCTCTCAAAGTTTAACACTGCCCAGTTGCTTCCGGATCCATCAGAACGGACGACACCATGAACGGTCAGAGGCAGAGACAGGAACTTCTCTTGGCCAGTTTTATGTGTTTCTTCTGTGTCCCATGAGAGTCTCTGTCTCAACTGTAATAGCCAGGGGATGTCCGTCCATGTTTGACTCCACCTGTGTTCTGTGATTTATTTCTCATTTTGGTAGTGTTAAAAAATTGTAACGTGTGTTTTTTTTTGTCTTATTCTGAGAATGATTTTAACCCATAGTTTTTGAAGATAAAACAATGCATTTTTCTTCTAACAGCAACAAGATCTGTTTCCATATTTTTGGTAGATTTGGGCATGGGTTGAATAACCGATCTCTCTGTCTCATTGCATCGGGTACCAAAACGACGGGTCGGGTCCGGTATCCAAGGTGCGTGTACCCAAATACCGCAAATCCCTATATGCTCGGTCCGAAGCATTTCTCAATGGAAAAAGGTGAATTATCAACTGATTCCCGAGGCATCAGGACGAGGAAGCAAAACCTAAGCTAACATAGGCATCGTGGTTTCGTGCAAGGAGAGGGCTGGGTTTAGGGTTAGGGTTCATAAACCTCAAAAGGGTTTAAATCGAAAAAAAAAATCCAATATAAGTGAGCGATACAAGGCAACAACAACAATAACAAAATGGCACAGAAAAGACTGAAAAAAGGAGAGATTAATTGGAAAGATCTAACAAGACTTGCAGCTACGCCTGCAGTAACCAGGAAGCTCAGCAGTTCCGACCATGTACTCGGGGTTCTTAGTGCACTCACCTAACATCGCCCATCTCTCGCAGCTCTCGTTCATATCCGTACAGTTCCCTCCTCCACCGCCAGGTGTCACGATCTTATCGAACGAGTCCACGTGGATCCACTTGGTCGCCGACCATTTCTCTCCTTCCACCACCGGACATCCTCCATGCAGGCTCATTGCGTCTGGAACTGCGTCCAGGTGGAGGTTGAAGAACAACAAGGCATCCCCTTTCTTTGGTTTCACTGACAAAAGGGGAAAAGAACCATTTTCCCAGATAAGTTCTTGTTTGTGTGATTGTAAATTTCAAACCTTTTTTCCTTTTCGGGAAATGATCGGTTCTATAATCGCTCACCAGCAATTCCTTTCTTTGCACAATCTGAAAGGTCCTCTTTGTTGTAATCAGAAAGCTTCCGGTGGTGAGGCTCCTACTCAGCAAGGTTCATAAGAAAGTCTCATCTTTTATATGAAAGAGTGAACGGGAAACCTCTTCTATATCGTATGGAAGAGAACAGAGTGTAAAAACGTGGATAATTTTAAGAGAAAAAGTTGTAGTATTGTCAAATTCAGTTGAATCTCTCTCTACTCATACCTCTGCATCGGGGAAAACAGTTTCTCCGCCTTTGGTGACATTGGAGAGATACATAAGAACCGTAGCTATGCGGTGGCCACCACGGGCAATGTTGACTTTGTCGTGAAAGTAATCAAAATGAGCATCGTACTTTTGGCCGTACTCATATCTCAATACCTGAATGTCTTCTCCATTTTCTGTCACCAAAAAAGCAGAGCACTTCTCCTCAGACTTTTGAGAATCAAAGGATTAAGATCGGCATAGCGATTTCATGTCCATAGCCTTTGCTTCCATGTTCAATTCCGTGTACAAACAGCATTTTCCGTTTTAGGTAAACATAGAGGAAACCAAAAAAAAAAATTACCTTTTGGGAGAAATGTCCATGTGGAGATCTTGTCCTCTATACCAGAAACAATGGGATCCTGCGTTTCAACAAAGAAGAATTCACATGACGCAGTAGCATATCACCATTGTCGCTACCTTGACGCAATTGTGTGACAGATCTAAGTTATTGATTCTGGGTTACAGCATGATCGATCTATCAAGATTCAACGTTTATAGAGTCTGTTAATCGAAAATGACCACCCTACAACTACTGAAAACCTTTTTGAATATATCAGTATAACATTGGGGTTCATCTGTTAAGATGCAGTCGTTCAAAACAGATCGATGTGATATGATATCCGAGATCGATGTCCACCAAAAACTCTTAACAAGAAACAAATCCAGTGTTATTGGAGAACTTTTTAAGCTGGATTTGGGTTCTAACTTCACCAAATTCGGTTAATCAATCAAGAACACCATCATTTCCAATCTAAGACTAATGTTAAATCTGAGAATTCAATGAGAAATCTAGCTTCTCTGCGAACTGTAGGATCGGATAAGGTTTCTAATAAGCCGATTCGACAAAAGTAAGAAGAGAAGAAAGCACACCTTAGCTTTGGAGATAAACGTGCCGGAGCTGGTACGAACATCGCTGACGGTGCTCTCTCCGTTATCGTTATCCGCAACCGCAGATCTCTTCAGCTCCGTTTTCGCCTTTTGAACAATCCGAATGGAAACATCGAAGTCAGATTGAGGAAAACTTTCCAGATTTAGCTCGAACCCAGATGATATGACAAAGAAATTGTACTCACGAGAGAGATCAGATGATCGCATTCCAGGTCCGTAAGGAAACCTTCGTACACAAACGCCCTAAACAGAACATCAAATTTTTTACGATTAGCGACCAAAATCACTACAAGATCTCGCCGCATTTCTCAGTAAATCCAAAGGGAGAAAGAACAAACCTAGGTTTAAACGAAACTTGCTTGACTTTGGAAGGATTGATGATGGCGCTCGGAGAGCTGATCAGAGAAGTGGAAGACTGAATAAAGACGATGAAGATGGCGAGACACAGCAGCAACTCGCGGCGTGACATCGCAGTCGGTTTGTAATCCAGATGCCGAGAGTCGGCAGAGCGAGAGAGAGAACGGAATTATTTTCCGAGAAAGTGAAGGGGAAAATTATGTGATTTTCTCGGGAAAAATGTCAACGTCAATGAGTAGTAGATGCCTCTACGGAGGGAGGTGGCGACGACATGCGCACGTCGATCTTCCGCCATATTTGATTTATATAATTTATTATTGCCAATTATAAATTATTAAAAACTAAATGATTGGGCTTGACCCGAAAAAAGGAAACTGGTTGGGCCCAAAGCCTTAAAGGCCCATATATTTTATATGTTCTTCTTCAATACATGGAATTTAACAATTTTGAAGCTGAAGGTCGTCGCACCATAAGCTTTCAATGGAGAAAGTCGGAGAGAAGAGCGATGTCGAAGTGAAAGCTTCTCCGAATCATCAAATGGATGCGGAGGAAGATGACGAGAATGTGAAACAGCTTCAGGAGTGTTCTTCTCTCTATCTTTCTCTACAGGTATGTATCCGCGTGATCACCGTCTGTTGTTTCTGAATTCTTCGCTAAATCCCTCTTCTTCTTCCTTTTTTTTTTTGTTCATCGTGTTATTTCTGCGTCTTTTTTTTTTGGCAGGAGTGCCTTATTGATAACGACAGGAATTGGAAATCTTGCCAGAAAGGTACTTCAATCTCTGGCTTAAAAGTTCACGATAATTAATTCAACGGAATTTGGGATTTAGGGTTCTTAGCTTTTACCCAAAGTAATCTGGGCTTGTTGATTGACAACCTAGCTGATGATAAGCCTCTCTCATCACAGTTTTTTCCCTTTTTTTTTTGTGATCGGTGAAATGCTCAACAGAGGTTCAAGCCCTGAAGGCATGCAATGATAGGAGGAAGAAATGAGGAAACACCGCCAGATGATACATTTCGTGAAATTAGGTTATACTATCATCCAAACACACACTACTTACAAATAACAAAATATCCATCATTTTCTGTAGGTCTATGTATTTGCACTTGCAAATCAACCGATGGTAACTCCATCTGCTCTTGTTGGGAAAGATTTGTGGATTAGCATAGCGACTGAGTTTTGGATGAATATAAGTGCCTTCTTGCTGTTTTTCACTGAAGTAAACTAGAAAGAGAAATGCACTTTGATCTTATGCACTGTATGTGCAAACAGGTTGCAGTTCCTGTGTCATTTGCGCCTGTCAAAGGACCCACAGAATCCAAATTCAAACCCGACATTCGGATACTCGATTTTCGAATAATCGATTCACGGGTCAGGTCGAATATCCGAAATTCGGATAATATTGGACAGCCCTTAAAGAAAACACTGTACAAAATGCTACTTCAGTGTAGATTTCCGGGAAAGAAGGCTAAACAAACGGCTCATCCGACCATGCTTGCAATAAGTAAGATGGATCTGGCAGCCAACAGAATCTGGGACAAGGCAAAGCAGTGATCTGAAAAAAGGGAAAATAATAGAACTCATTTCATATCTTTCATTGCACCAAGTTTTTGATCTGTACAATGATAACTGTGATATCATCTGTCCGATTTTCGTGCTCCAACCACAATTTGTAAGACTCAGCCGCAACAGCACCACATGCATCTCGAGTATCGGCGTGCTTCGCCACCTAAATACATCATCAGAGAAAACTTAGCACAATTGCATATATGCAAATCACAGAGACTAGCAGTCAAAGATTGACATGAACGACCATATTATGCCAAAAAGGTCGATTCTTTACAGCTGAATCCATAGATTTCTAACGATCTTCAGAGCCGAATGTGCACAAAAGGTCGATTCTTTAGGGACGAATCCATAGATTTCTATCTTCAGAACCGAATATGCAAGAAAAGGTAGATTCTTTACAGCCCAATCCATTGATTTCTATCTATGTTCAGTCTAAATTATGGCAGTGGGTAAAATGCAAACGAAATATGACAAAGTTCTACGAGACCAACACGTCCATGCGAAAGATCAGATTCTCTGAAGAGGGTTTTTAAGGGATACCATATCTACAACGGCTTGGCTCGGAAGAAACTCGAAAACGCCATCACTTGCAACAACAAAGAACAAATGCTTAGGCGAAAGATGAACCATAGAAACCTCTGGATCGGCTATGACTCCGATATTCTCGGCTGTACTATCTCCCAAGCTACGTGTAAATGCAGTGCCCGGATACATTCCATTCTTAACCCACACTCTCGGTGGATCTCCCCCTTCGTTCTCTTCATCCCCCCACGTTTGGATATTCGGATCCTTCAGCCCATCCACCTGATCGACGCTAAGAACCCTAGCCCCACACAACTTCACTCTCTCGCATTCATCTCTCCTAAACGGCGTTTGATCATACGATAAATCCTCTGCTAGAATCTGGTTCCCGTCCTTAACAGCAAGAACGGCCCTAGAATCACCTGCATTGGACACATAAAGCCTATCCCCAACAACAAGAACAGTAATGGCAGTAGTGCCACTCATCGAATCATCAATCTCGCTATCATGCAACTCTTCATTCGTCCTCAAAAAAGCAGACTTGAAGGCCTTTTCTGGATCATCCAACAAGGTGGGATCTTCTGACAGCATGTCCACAAGCCGTTCCTTGACGAAATTCGAACATTGAGCACCGAATACGCCATGCCCATCGAACACACCGAAGAAATGAACATTTGGGTTACCTTGGAGCTGGATTTTGATGCAGTAAGTGTCTTGGTTTTCCTTATCAGGCGAGTCAGGGTAATAACCTCGCTGCGATAGCACAGAATAGAGCAGATCGAAATTGCGAGAATGAACGTGAACAGACGTTAATGGTGTCTCGATAACAACCCCTTTTCCCTTCTCGGCATTGTACTGCTCGGTTTCGCTTTCGCCATAATCCTTAGAATCCCCGTCAGATGATGACGAAGGGTAATGACTGCAACACTTGCAGTAGACACAACCCATGTTTCGTTGACGCAAAAACGAAACTTCCGCTAGAAAACCCAGAAGAAAAATAAGGGTTTATCAACAATTCCGGCTCGACAAGAACAAGCAACCTCCAGGAGAACGACGAGATGGGTGTTCCTTGAATTCAACAATGGCGTCTCCAAGACCGAATGTTTTTGCAGAGGACATGTTTCCCGGGCAAAATTGTAAAGGAGAAGAAAGAAACAATGAAATGGGCGAAATTCAGACCCCAAATCCAGAATCTTTTCTGCCCGAAAGAGTTCACCCGGGAATCAAATTGCAAACAAGAATTACAACGAAGTACAGAATAACCCCCAGACGAAGAAAACGAAGAAGGGGAAACCCTAAATCGAAAGTTTCGAAACAATCCGAAAAAGGGTTATTCCGTCAACCCTTTCGTCTGAAATTCCAGAAATCCTAAAAGCTTAGCAGAAACCCTAAAATCTGACAATGTCGAAATTCTCTCTCTTTTCCCCAAGGGACACATTTCTCGCTGACTCCCCCTCCCAAATAGAATCGAAACGGGTCGAACATCTCAATATCGACCCGACCCGAATTCCATATTGAGCCGGTGACGGGCTTGCCTCTTGGGTTTCAAAGCCCATAATACATTTTTTTTTAGTTATTAAAGAAAATGACATTCTAAAAGACATTTTTTGGAAAACCGTACAAGTATTGCTTTTTGGCTTTATTTTGTTCTCGTGTTTTTGCACCTATAAAAATGTTTCAAAACATTTTAATGAAAAAGGGGTCGACCACTTATATATATTTAAATTGATTTAGATAAAATTAATAAATAAGTGTTAATTTTATATTTACACGCTAATAAAAAAATTAAGTTCAACTATTTCTACTCGAACTAATATCTGGATAATAATTTTTATAAAAACAACCCTACAACAAAATGACTTTAATGTATCTGCAAACTCGAAAATCACCCGATTGAATAACGCTCAACGATTTCTAACCATAATGTTTTGATTTTTGTTGGTGAATATCTCGCACTTTGGTCCCAAATCAAATAGCAAAATGTTTAAAAAAAATATATACCCAAATGGACTAAATGAGTCAGCTCGCGGTTGACTCATTTATTATTGAACCGAGTTAAAAATTTAGAAGAACAAATAAAAAACGGACTGAATGAATCAGCTCACTACGAGTCCGAACCCAACCGAATCAACTCGGTCGGTTCGCGAGCTAGCTCATGAGATGGTACAAAAAATATCTTTTTGTTGTAGAAATTGAAAATACAATTGATTGAAAATGAATGTAGAAATAAAGGTGAAACATGATGTAGAAAATTAGAATTCTATATTAGTGTTGTGTATGTTTTTTGTTTTATTTGATATTGATTGATGTATGACACTTTTTATATTGTCTGGTGATGTGACATTAGATTTTTTTGTTAATTTTTCTTGATTTGGATATGATTTTAGAAAATTGTTGTGTTAAATATGTTATACTATGTTGTTGAATGACTTCAAATTATTATAATGTAGATTTCAAATTATTAATTTTTATATGATTTTAAAATATTTTTTGAATAATTAGATAATACTGAAGACAATTTATTTTGGGCTAGAATTTTTCTAGCTCGTAAAAAATAGACCGAACAGGCTGAACCAAAAATGAACTAGTTCGGAACGAGGCAGCCCGATCCGATCTCAGCCAACCTATTTTACATCACTATATATATATATATATTAACAATCACACGACCATTTAGAAATTTTTTTAGTAACTTAATTTAATTATGTTTTGAGGATTAGTTGTAAATAACGGAGATAAAACTATAAATAAATAAAAGAGGAGAAAATTAAATAGAGACGTCTGAAAATCAAGATAAAAATAAGAGGGGGGATTTACAAAAATGACTTTAAATGTCATTTTTACTTCACGTGATAACCCTCACTTTGGAAAAAAAAAGACAACATCATGTGATAACTTTGTAATAATATACTTCCAAAAATACCCTTCATTTTTTATTTATTATTAAATTTTAAAAAATAAATTTCAACTCTCTCTCCTCTTCCTCCTCTCTCTCTCCTCGTCCGCTTTCTCTTCTCTCTCGTTCAGTAGTCTTCACACTCTCTTCATCTCTACTCTTTTTTAGCTAATTTGTTGCGAAAAAACAACATTAAGCTTGGGCATTTAATCGATTCAACATAAATCTGAATAAAAGGTAAGTATTGTTTCTAAATTTTGTTATTAAGTTTGGACATTTGTGATTTATTATTTTATCATTTTTATATTTAATCCATATGAATATGTTTGAAGCAAAAATGACATATATATCAGCAATACCATGATTCACGTTATTCAAACTGGTTGAAATCATTATATTTGTGAAATTCGTTAAAATGGGAGAATTCAGAAAACTGGTAACATATACATGTCGAAATGGTGAGACTGGTCATACTCCTAACTGGTCATACTTGTCAAAATTGGTCAAACTGGTCATATTCGTGAAATTGGTCAAAATGGTCATACTCATCAAACCTGTGACATTTTTCAAGTGTATCATTTTATCACATTTTGTGTTTATTTTATACAGGTATAATGGATGCAACTAATGAGAGGATGATGATTATTTATTATAAATCTGATGGCAAGTGGGTAGTAAAATCGATCGGAGCATATGAATGGGAAGGAAAGAAGAATACATGTTCGATAGGTTCAGCCAACATATCATTGTCATAAGATCATGCGGGTGGAATGTATTTCGATTTGTAATTGGTATGACTGGTTTGACCAGAATATGACCGTCTCGACGATTTTGGTAAACGAGTTTGATTATGCAGGTGTAATGTACTTTTAAATTCGTATTTCCGTATTTGTATTTGATATCTCTACTTTGACCATATTATCATATGATTATGTGGGTTTAATGTACTCTTTCAAACCGATGAATCTCGCAATTTCGAATAGGTCTGACCGTCTGACCATGGTATGACCATATGACCGTCTGATCGTCTGACCATTCGGGTACGAAAAAAAAGACCTAAATTAAATTCAAACGATTAGAAAAGTTGTATAAGGGTTATAAGAATACTTTTTCATCGTTTTGGAGTTCTAATTTCGTGTGGAGAAAACAAATCTACCAACATAAGTCAATTGTGTCCAATGTGTTACACAAACACTACTAATAGTTTAGGTCTTCTTTGGAAAGAGTTACTTTGATATCAAAAAAAGATGCTCAATCCATATTGCTACGACCGATTTCAACTAGAGAAATCGATCATACGAGATGATTATTACGATGTTAACACTTTCAAACCGATGAATCTCGCAATTTCGAATAGGTCTGACCGTCTGACCATAGTATGACCATATGACCGTCTGACCGTCTGACCATTCGGGTACGAAAAAAAGACCTAAATTAAATTCAAACGATTAGAAAAGTTGTATAAGGGATATAAGAATATTTTTTCATCGTTTTGGAGTTCTAATTTTGTGTGGAGAAAAAAAATCTACCAACATAAGTCAATTGTGTCCAATGTGTTACACAAACACTACTACTAGTTTAGGTCTTCTTTGGAAAGAGTTACTTTGACATCAAAAAAAGATGTTCAGTTCATATTGCTACTACCGATTTCAACTAGAGAAATCGATCATACGAGATGATTATTACGATGTTAACACTTTCAAATCGATGAATCTCGCAATTTCAAATAGGTCTGACCGTCTGACCATAGTATGACCATATGACCGTCTGACCATTCGGGTACGAAAAAAAGACCTAAATTAAATTCAAACGATTAGAAAAGTTGTATAAGGGATATAAGAATATTTTTTCATCGTTTTGGAGTTCTAATTTTGTGTGGAGAAAAAAAATCTATCAACATAAGTCAATTGTGTCCAATGTGTTACACAAACACTACTACTAGTTTAGGTCTTCTTTGGAAAGAGTTACTTTGACATCAAAAAAAGATGTTCAGTTCATATTGCTACTACCGATTTCAACTAGAGAAATCGATCATACGAGATGATTATTACGATGTTAACACTTTCAAATCGATGAATCTCGCAATTTCAAATAGGTCTGACCGTCTGACCATAGTATGACCATATGACCGTCTGACCGTCTGACCATTCGAGTACGAAAAAAAAACCTAAATTAAATTCAAACGATTAGAAAAGTTGTATAAGGGATATAAGAATATTTTTTCATCGTTTTGGAGTTCTAATTTTGTGTGGAGAAAAAAAATCTACCAACATAAGTCAATTGTGTCCAATGTGTTACACAAACACTACTAGTAGTTTAAGTCTTCTTTGGAAAGAGTTACTTTGACATAAAAAAAAAAGATGTTCAGTCCATATTGCTACGACCGATTTTAACTAGAGAAATCGATCATACGAGATGATTATTACGATGTTAACACTTTCAAACCGATGAATCTCGCAATTTCGAATAGGTCTGACCATCTGACCATGGTATGCTAACACCTTCATTGCTATATATTTGAAGAACACTTCGAAATCCCTGAAAAAATGGCTCGTGTGACTACATTATGACAGGTATGACCAATTACAAATTGGTCATACTAATCACAAACTGGTCAGACCAATTCAATTTGTCAGACCAATTCAATTAGTCAGACCAATCCAACTGGTGACACTATAAAAGAAATCACCAAATTAATATGTATCTTTGAGGTATCGCCAATCTGTTTATACACCTTTGCATATGTATAAAAAGATCCGGTTTGATGCATTTCTTGCACATCCTAGGACAAGTCGGATCGATACCTTCAACATCAATATACCATCCATTTGCGCCTAAACTTTCGACGCATTCGAAAGGAAGAAACTGCAATATACAAACCAATTCATTATACAATTTCCGAATCTGATCGCGCGCTAATCTTAACGAAGGTGTATCTTCTCCAGGAAAACCCTTCACAGAAGTCCAGACTTTCGACCATGTCCACCAAATCACTGTTTAAAACAATACAATTATTGCTAATCTCTTTCTTTCTTCCACATTTGCATGTGGAGTTTCGCGCAACTTCTTTAATGCAGCTTCTATGGTAACTTTTGAAGTTCCGAATATTCTTTTCCGAAATTCACTTCCCTTACATTTAGTCCAGTCCTCCGAATAGTTGTTAAAATTTAAGTCGGAGATAATGGCATGTTCCTGGATCGAGTATCTGATGGGCACGCCATTTACAACAAACCAAAACTCTTTTTCCTCTCCTTCCAACCTTAATGCACGGTGTTGAATATCCTTGAAAGCGTACACAAAAGGGACCTGCAACAATTAGATTAACTCTCATGATCAGTTTTATTATATTACAATTACGAAACAGACTATGATTACAATAAATCTGGTCATACCAGTGAAGTATGACCACTTCACGGGTCTGACATTTAACCGGTCTGACCATTTCGCTCGTCTGACCACATCACGGGTCTGACCACTTCACTGGTCTACCCACTTCACGAGTCTGACCATTTCACGGGTCTAACCAGACTTCACTGGTCTGCCCACTTTACGGGTCTGACCATTTCACGGGTCTGACCACTTCACTGGTCTGTCCACTTCACGGGTCTGACCATTTCAAGGGTCTGACCACTTCACTGGTTTCTCCACTGCACGGGTCTGACCATTTCACTGGTCTGACCATTTCATTGGTCTACCCATTTCATGGGTCTGACTAATTCGAGTAATATAACCGTCTGACCAAAAAATTCGACTTTCATTAACTATCTTTCTGAAAATCTCTATTTTTCACCTAAAACCCTAATTTTTCTAACCCAAACGACTCGAACATTACTCTATTGGAGTTTAAACCCGAAACAAACACATAAACACAAAGACAAAGAGAGGACGAACGACGCAATCAATTTTTTCGGTGAGTGTACCATACCTGTAGATCTTCTGAAGTAGAAACCGAAGCAGTAACCGAAGGAGAAGCCAAAGATGAAGCCATTTGTGCCGACAGAAGACGATTTTGTAAGAAGAACCCGAGAGATTTGCGCGATTGAAGAAAGAAACCGGATGAGAGGAGAAGACGTTCGTCCGTTCGTGTTTGTTTGTTTGAAAATTTGGAAACACAGAGAGTTGTTGTCGTTTCCTGCTTTCCATTGAGTTGCCACGTATTCAATATTTTAAGGGCAAAGTAGTCTTTTTATCATTTTAGATTTTTTTTTAAAAACCCTAAACCTAGAGGGTCATGCCGTGAAGTCCAAATCGACAAGTTGGGTTATTTTTGCAATTTTACCAAATAAGAGAGGAGAAAAATGAAATCAAGAGACCACTAAAATTCTACAAGAAGAACCTCAAAAATTCATAGGCGTGACATTTGCCCAAGTGGGGTGCACGATCATGTGCTCCCACTCATACCTTCCCACCCAAGTCAACCTCATAGTCAACCAATCATTTCCTTCCACGTCATCACCTCCTCTGGTTAACATAAACACACCTTTCGGATTTTCCGGCGACGTGTAAACGTCTGATACACGACGGCTCCCGATCCCGGAAACTCGTCCATCACACGATTCCGACACTTAAGCCCGAGTTTCTTTCCCAACACGCGCTCCACGCGCTTCGTCACCTCGTGATTGTATCCATCCCCGCCGTAGGTTGTCGAGATCGACACGTGTCCCGGTCGGAAGACCTCGATGGCACGCTTCAGAACCTCCGCCACGTCATCATCTCCTTCGTCGTAGACCGATCCCACGCACTCGAAGCTCGCGTAGCTGAACCCATCCTCGGGCGTGACGTGGATAGTGGAGTAACGACCACCGTCGACGCCGTTCATGGAGTAACCACAAGGGTCAAACGCGAAATCGCATATAAACGCGTTTGGGTTAATCGCGTCGATACCGCTAAGCCGCGTCATCTCTTTACCGGTGGCGTCGCTGTTTTTTCCGTCGCCTTTCCGTCTGAAGAAGCTGCGGGCGAGGACGCGGTCGAGCTCCGTCATGCAGACCTCGAAGACGATGGGCTCGCACGTAGGGACCAAGTCAACGCTGGCGGTGAACACGTGCCACGCACGTGAGGGGTCGGTGGAGGGCATGACGGAGGCTTTCCGGTAACGGAGGGATTTGGGGAGATTTTCTTCGACGAAGACGACTTCGTCTTTGAAGCTCGTGTAAGGGAAAGGCTGCGACTCGGGGAAGATGAAGCTGCCACGTGAGTATCGGCACGATCGCAAGGCGAGGCCGAGGTTTCGGGCGAGAAGGGTCATGGGCCGGATGGATTCGAGGAGCTGAGTTGTGCCACATGTCTTGATGATGATCTTGGTCGGGTAAACGAAGAGACTTGATTCCGACAGAACATATGCGTCGAAGTTCCGGTTGGCTATGGCGGATACCACCGTACACTGCACTACGTTTAAAACTTCGTCCAGTGACTCGAAGTCGATGAGCCGGAGTCCCATGGCGTTTGCCACTGGATCGACGCCGAAGAATCGTAGCTCGAGCCTTTTCTCGAATCCTTCGAACCCAGAGACCGCCATCCTTGAATCAGAACAGACGAAGTCTTTAAGAGCTAAGCAAAAGTGCAGAATAGAAATGTGTTATGTATATATATAAAGAGTGTGTGTGTGTGTGTGTGTGAGAGTGTGTGTGTGTGTGTGTGTGTGTGTGTGTGAGAGAGAGAGAGAGAGAGAGAGAGAGAGAGAGAGAGAGAGAGAGAGAGAGGGAGGGGGAGAGAGAGAGGGAGAGAAGGGTACTTGTAGTGGGTTGAGAGAGAAGTGGTATTTATAGGAGAGATTTGGAGAGAGAGAGAGAGAGAGAGAGAGAGGAAATAGAGACAGGGGCATGCGGGTGAAGAGACCAAGAATCATGATTGTAGGCATAATGAAATGTGAAAGATGATGTGATATATGTATCTATACGAATGTATGCATGTATACGTATATGTATATATGCATGTATATATCCGTGTATGTGTGATCACATCTAAGTGTGTGCTCTGCCGTTCTGTTAATGTTCTGGGGCTAGAGAGTTTAGGGTTCATAATCGAATCAAAGAAAGGTACAATATATATGCATAATGCAAGTATACTATATAGTATTTGTAGCTTATTCCAATTTTGTAGACATGAAGGGAAATTATAATTTCGTGTGCTAATTCGAAGATGATTTTGTTGGGGATTAACTTTCGAGAGACCATATGAGAGTGTCAATCATACCTACAGCCCTTCTTGTCGCCTTGACAAGAATCATGGAACCTTACTTCATTTTGACCAAAATTATTTCAGTCAAACACTTATGTCAACAAAAAAAAAAAGAGAGAGAGAGATTGCTAAAGATTCAAATATATAAATTATTATTAGTGGGGTGAAAATTAATTTGGGTTTGGTTATTATAAAAACCAAACCAAATCAGTCCGAATATGTAAAAAAACAAAAAGTAATCTAAAACCAAATTAGCGAAAATGTTCACACCTAACTATTAGTGTTTCGGTCGTTGATCTACCGTATATACATACGCAATTTGGTGATTTTGATTCTAAAAGTAGAAACTATATATACATATATACGCTTGTTAAAAGATCAAGATCGAGTTAGATTATGCTTAAAGGTCAAATTTTTTTCATCGTTCTACATGAAGCTAGCTAAAGCTATATATGGCAAGTTGAAACTCATATATATATATATATATATATATATATATATA